AAAGCAATATTAAAATAGCATGCCTTCAGGAGCCATATCTGAGGGAAAATCAGCTCAGAGGCTTCCCAATAAATTATAAGAAATATTACGCAACTTCTAATGCTAAAACAGCAATCATAATTACGGACAGAGATGTTCCGACAATAGAACTCTTTAACCAGGACACTACTGTCACGGTCAAAATTGATTCCGACAATCCTTTTATAGTGATTTCGGCTTACCGTTCCCCAAACCAAGAAATAGAACTGACGCTGCTGAAATTAGAGCACTTTCTTCATATGCATGATCAAACACCGATAATCCTAGCGGGAGGTTTAAATGGGAAACACCCGATATGGGGCCCTACGCAATCAGACCCCCGAAGCTTGAAAATCTGCGACTTTGCAGCAGGCAACAGATCTCACGATCCTCAACTCGAATTGGCAAGTAATCGAAGATGCGAATCTCAGCGACCATAATTATATCAGTTACAAAGTAGAAAATGTCAGCTACTCAACAAATCTTATAGAAGACTAAACATCAGACACGTAAACTGGTTAAGTTCCGAGAAACGCTCTCTTCAAACTATGCTCTGCATCATAAGATAATTTTGATTAACGATATAAACAATTATATTAAGGTTAATACCCAGTTAATCAAAGATACCTATGAGGCAACCAAGAAGAAACATCCTTCGCAAAAACCACATCCTAGGAGTAATCCCTGGTGGAACACGCATCTAACAATCCAAAGGAACAAAGTCCGAGCACTTCGGAGAAGGTTCCAAAGAGCCCCACATGAGCAAAGAGCACACCTAAGGGAAATCTACAAACGAGGACAAGCCACCTATAGGAAAAGCCTTGTTCAAGGCTAAAAAATTGACCTGGGAAACATTCTGGGACAAACTACAGATATCTTCCCCCTTCGGTACATACTATGAAGTAGCCAAAGGCAAAAGTCTAGGACCCCTCAAACTGTGTGCAATCTCAAAGGACGATGGAACCCATACGTCTACCATAGTAGACACGATCTCTGAGATAATCTCATACCACTTCCCAGAGGACTCTGAAATAAGCAATGACACCCAACCTCAACAAGTTAGGCAAAGAACTCTACATCCGCCTAGCACACCAGACGACCTCCCCTTTACAAAAGAGGAAGTCAGAAAGGTAATTGAGAACACGACACGTGGAAAAGCACCATGCTTAGATAATTTAAGTACAGACTTAATAGAAGAATTAAGGTTGGTAAATGCCCAAGACCTTACAGATCTCTTCAACGCATGCCTTAAGAAAGGTTACTTCCCCAAAACAAGGAAGGAGGCAGAGCTAGTACTTTTCCATAAAGAAGGAAAGGATAAACTGAAACCCAATGCATACCGACCCATCTGTCTCTTGTCGGCATGGGGGAAAGTATTGGACAAATTGATAACCCAAAGATTGAACCATCACTTAGAAAGTAACCAACTCCTAAACCAAACCCAGTTTGGCTTCAGCAAAGGCAAGAGCACAATCGATGCATTAGAAAATCTAATTAAAAGGATCGAGGAGAACTGGCAAACCAAAGTGCACACCTGCATTATATCTCTGGACATCACCTCAGCCTTCAACCGGCTGTGGTGGCCGACGATAAAGTACCAACTGACGCAACTTAATTGCCCATGGAATCTCTATTGACTAATAAGCAGCTATCCAAACAATAGGAAAGTGATGTACAGAGACGGTACCAAGATCACTAAATCTTACAATAAAGGAGTGCCGCAAGGCTCTAATATCGGGCCGATTTTACGGAACTTAGTCGCCAACACGGCACTAAATCTAGACTTCAAAGACACCGCCTATATCCAGGCATATGCAGATGACTTCATCTTAGTCATCAATGGAGGAAACCGCACAACAATAGAAAGGAAAGCCCACAGGGCACTTCATACAGATCATAACAGAATGGAGTCACGCCCACAAACTAAAATTCAGTATCGAAAAAACCAAAATGATGATTATCCCAAAAGGCAACAAACTGATAAGCAACCCCCCAAGGATAAAATGGCAAGGCCATCCATTAAGAAGACAAGATACGATCAAGTATCTAGGGTTCACCATCGACAAGAAGCTCATGTGGATTCCCCACCTAACCGAAATCAGAGACAAGACGAGTAAGTACTCTTCTAAACAATCTGAACCACATAGTAGATTCAAACTGGAATCTAAAGGGTAGATTACTAAAAGACCTCTATCAAAGGGGCATTGAAAGAATGATATTATACGGATGTCAAATTTGGATGACTGGTACAGTCAGAATACAGCAGAAGCTCCAACAAATACAGCGGATTATCCTACTAAAGCTGACTAAAGCATTTACTACGACACCCACCACAGCCCTACAGGTGCTAGCAGGCACCCTGCCGCTCGACCTCAAGGCCGAAGGAGAACGTTGTATTTATCGCCTTACTCGTGGAAAGCAAGTCCACAGAATCCTGGACACTGAGATAGATGATCTTTGCATTAAGCCAATATCCTATACCCACTCAACACACCCGGCAAAAGTTAAAAACTTCAACTGGACGAAGACACTCCCGACAGGAAAATCTCTAGAGATCTTTTCCGATGGATCAAAGATTCACGACAAAGTCGGCGTGGCTTTCATCGCCCTCCATAACAAGGAGCCACTTTATAAAGCAGCTAAAAGACTGAGCGATCACGCCACTGTGTTTCAAGCAGAGTCGAGAGCCTTAAAAGACGTCGCCCTCTGGGCCAAACAGTTCAACTCTATAGAAATTAACTTCTACACCGATAGTATGAGTGTCCTCCAAAGTCTGAATAAAGCTGGGGTCATCCCAGTTCACATAGCAGCACTAAAGGAAATCTTGGCAACGCTAGGGGACTCTCTCCACTGGATCAGAAGGCCACCAAGGCACCGCAGGGAACGAATATGCCAACAGACTAGCGAAAGAGGCAACGGACTACCATACTCCAGACTGCCCCACTCCACTCTCAGAAGATGCCGCTAAGCAGAAGCTATTACAGATCCTCTTAGACTACTTGCAAGATAGATGGAATACTGCAGATACAGGACGTTTTACCCACTCCATCTTCCCACAAGTGAAGCTAAAAAGACTCAAGTCGGACTTCTACTGCCTCCGAGTCTTACGAACCACGGACGTTTCCCGAGCTATTTTTCCACTGCAAACTGAGCTGCACCTGCGGATCCACAGCTACGGAAGCAGATGCACGCCATTACCTAACTGCTTGCCCTCTGACAAAAGACTTGCGAGCAAAGCACTTCTCCTCCCTGGGACAAGACCCGAGTCTGAACAAGATCTTCACCGACTTCTATGGACAAAGATGCGCCCGTGCTATCATCAGATTTGTTAACGATCATCAAAGAGATATCATAATTGAAAGCTACACTAGGTTTTAAAATTACCTGAAGTGTGTAACTGGCAGCTTGCCAAATGTAAATAATGTAAATACCGTATTTACGCGAATCTAATGCGCATCGTTTTTGGCCAAATGTAGTATTCAAAATTGGGGTGCGCATTAGATTCGAGTGCAAAGTTCGGCGATGACGTCAAACAAATATAAATCTTAACAATGGATTACTGTATTTCTCCACTACATCTATCGTTACATTTATCGTTGACACATTATTGCATAGAGAGTATTACATAGGATACAAACTGCAGAGTACGTAGTCACGAAATGGGGGCAAACAGAGAAGATGTCATATGACGCTACCTTCAAACGTAAAGTAATTCTTTATGCTGAAAAAAATGGCAATAGAAAGGCAGGAGAGAGTTCATGATATGCCTCGTAACTACACCATTACGAGAAGGGGACTAAGGAAGTTATCATCAAAACTTCGGGATGTGAAAAACACGCGTAACAGTGATTCTGGCAATAACAGCAGACGGGTGCAAACTTCCCCCTTTCTTAACCTTCAACGGAAAACATGCCGCTAGATAGAAATGTTACGATTTTTTCATGTTCATATTTTACGATAGGACCTTAGACGGTAGTGTAATTAACAATGATTGTTTCACAGACACTAGCCCACTAGTAGGTTAATTCTATGTTCTGCTACTTTATGTATAAATCCATTGTTGTATAAAATATGGTATCTAAATTTAAATAAAATTATCATACCATTAATTGATAGTTTATATACAAATCCATTGTTGCATAAAATAAGATTCAATAAATTCCTCATATCATTGATGCGCATTACATTCGCCGACAAACAATTTTTTTATTATTTAAAGTTTTAAAATGGGGATGCGCGTTAGATTCGATCGCGCATTAGATTCGCATAAATACGGTAGTTTAAACACAAACTAACATCCTTATTACTAATTAATACTAACAGCTTTTGTCTTAAAATAATATCTAATTTTTGTAAACTAAGTTAACATTAATATTGTTCAAATAAATATAGCTGGAAAAGAAAAAGCAGCTAAAGATAAACACGCAACGACCAGAGTGATTTTACTCGACCTGTAGTGCCCAATGAGAGGCAGAGCAGGCTGTAATAAATTATTATTATTATATCCTAGTACTGTTTCACCCTTTCAACGGATGTTAATTCTTCAACTAGCTGTAAATGAAAAAAAGTCCAGTTGTCAAAAATGTGATTACACTCTTTTTTCAAAATACTAGGTAAAACTATGGCATAATAACAGTCAATTTATATCCTTATTCATAAATACAAAAGGTGACTTATCGAAAATCTGTCAGGGGTACATTAAACTAAAGTGCAGATATTATGTGTGTGTATTGCGACGGCACATTTATCCATAATTACCCCTAAATCGTGCTACTTAGTGACAATTTGACAGTCGACAGGATAATACTTTAGTATCTTTTATTTTGTTTCCAAAGAAGACTGACCCGTGTCTGATCACTTTTGAAATCAATAGTTTTATTCACAATTTACACCATGCAAAGGTTATTTTCCTGTCTAATTTAAAGTTTTACATGTGCATATTTCTTTCCCAACTTAGTTCAAATGAAATTTTATTTAATAAAACCATAATTAAACATTTTATCAATGAAAAATTCAAATCTAAGGCATTTTTATAAATTATTAGTTTATGCTTTGTATATATATGAGTAAGTTATATAAAAGTTATACAAAGATATGTTACATAACCCAAAAATACAACTGCACTATGAAGAAAAATGTTGAAAGAAGCCGGCATGTTCATACAGGAGTAAGAGTGAAAGAAAAGAATATTATATAGGTTATAACCTGCTTCTGATCAGACGTGAAAACTATTAAACAACTGCAATATAAATATTTTAATTTAGCACCTAATATAAGACATTTGGTACAAGCCATATATATTTCAAATAGTAACAATTTCTTCAAGAAAAAAATACAAAAATACAACCATAACCATATAAAAATTTCCCACTAATTCCTACATACACAATAAGAAAACAAATTATACATTAATTTATAACTTATATTCAGTGTGCATAGTTGTATATCATACATACTACATACACCGTACATGAAAATACATATCGGAAAAGTAGAACAATTTCGTATTTAAATTTTCAATACAAGAACAAATTCAAATAAATAATCCAAATACGTGTTTACTTTACAATTTAAAAACTCATAATTGCTCTTACAATACGTCAAAAGCTATTGTCACACTTCAGTTTCTTTATTAAACAACTATACATGTGGCTCAACAAGTATCATTTTGCAACAAATTGCTTATGATGAGTTGCTCCCTTTTACCTTAGACAGTAAATGCTTGAAAAAAACTGCACTCATTTGAATCAAGAACATATTGTGCTTCCAAAACAATTGATGAGAAATTAATAACCTGAAGGCTTCCTTATTTTTGCTTTAAAAAAGGCATCTAAAGAGCTATTACAGTAGCATACACCCACATCAATATCAGTCTCATTGCATATATATTAATAATTTGTATGGGAAAGCTCTAGGTGCTCCATTAAATTATTTCGAATATAAAATTTTTTTTCACACCACTTGCACGAAAATAACATCTTCTTCATATGGGAATTTCTGTGAACTTTTAAACTGCGGTTAGATAAAAACCGTTTGTCACAAATTCCACACTTATAGCTTTTTATAACAATACGTACATGTGAATGGTAACGAACAAGACAAATACTTGTAAAGATTTTACTACATGTTAAACATCGATATCTTCCTTTTCCCAAATGCACATTTCTGTGATCAATAACCGACTTCAATGATGTAAATTTTTCATTACAAACCACACAAGCAAAACAAATTGATATTTTTTGTTTTACAGGGTAATGTTTACTATCCAGCAAATCAGATGAATAAGAGTCTGATTTTACATGCTTATTTTTCTTATGCATGCTTAAAAAAATTTTTCTTTTATATTTAGCACCACATAAATTACAAAAATAAGTCTCTGTCTCTGGCTGATTTATTGCATAAGAGTACAAATTTGCAGCAGATGTAAAAAATTGATCATTACAGAAATATGAACCTAACCTGATGTGCGATAACATATGTTTACAGGCATTATGCTTTGTAATATGCTCCCCATGAAACCCGCAAATTAAACACTCATTTTCCAGAAAATACTTCACTAAGGGTAACAAGAGTTTTCTCCGCTTATTCTGATCATCTGCAGGTTTATGATCATTCACATCTGCCGGTTTACAGGCAGTCATTTTTTTAAGCTGCTCCAAATCATCATCGAGTTTGTTGTCACAATTAACATTGCTTCCAGAACCTTCAATTTTAGTTTTACCATTGCTCAAAATATTCTGCTCAAATATTTCATGCTTGGATATACTATTGGGTATTGTAAGAGCAAATTCTTCACCAGTACATTCTTTGTTCAGAGTATCCTGAACAGAATTCAGATTTGTTATACAAATCAAGCCTGGAATCCTTTCACAAGTAGCAGCAATTTCCTCATGAATATTTTTTCCAGAAAATTTCAGTTTTCGAGGACAGAATGTGGACTGTATAACAAAATGCTGACCATTTCGAGGATCTACAAAAGACAAAGTTTGAACTTTACTTGGATGGCCAAAGTCATCTGGAGTTACTAGGTTGGAAAAATCTTCAGGCAATACACTTGTTGGCAAAATACGATTAATTACTTGTAGTACTGACATATTTACCCTATAAGTGTACTTGAAAGTCTAGCAATTAATTGAGAGATTCTTACTGTTATATCAACATAAAAGAAAATTCATAAATGCTGCATATCTATATGTAAAATAATCTTTTTCTTAATATATTATACAGTTACACAATGAGTTTATTTTTGGAGTTTTATAATAAATATATCAGATCAAAAATCTTTTTTTTTTTTTTTTCCTTTTTTGTGGTATATATGTAAGATTTTAAAAATTTAACTTCTGAAGGCTTAAATGCTTCGAAGTAACACAGCATGAACTTGGGCACTTGATTTTTGCAATACAGATTCACAGAAGAACAAACAATTTATTTTTCCGTTCTGTAATTTCAAATCAAACAGTGTAGTCTTCGGCCTTTTTATTCCTTAAACAAGGAAATAAAAATTAGTATATTTTATATTTTACATGGTTACATAATAACAAAAAATTATAATACATAACTGCAAAGCACAGATAAAATCTTCTGAACTATTAGTTACGACCTAAGCAGTACAAAACTGGCTTTACTTTCTTTTAAATATTTATTATGTAAAAAAAGTAAATTTCTATATAATACAACATTTAAATAGTTCTTTCAAATTACAAAATTTATTAGATTTCAAAGAACATCATAACTCTTCAGTACCATCAACAATGAAAAACTGATCTGTTACTTATTATTTCCTTCTAAATCAATATTTGAGATTGATAATCATATTTCCATGCCATCAATATTTGCAACTTAATATTACAATTTGGCATTTAAAGTTTGATTTTATGAAACTATCACATTTTATATTGTTTCCAAAGCTATTAAGGACACTGGAAATTGAACATTTTGTAAATGAACCAAATGGAAAAGGGAGGGAAAAAAGAAAGCAATTGATTGTTAAGTGCTATAAAATTTAGAAAAAAAAAAAAAAAATTTAAGACATGACCCTTTTTTTATACCAGGTATCTTAGAATTATACATTTTATAGAACTTTTATTTTTTACATTACAGAACTTTTTATATGGGAAGGAGAGAGTTAAACTTTAGATATTTATTTGAAATTTTGTCCAAAAAAAATCTTCCCGTGCACGCGGCTCTGTGCAATTTGAGTTTGAGACCACTGTTTTACCTTAAAGCAATTCATATAATTTTCAAACTAATTTAGATTCAAAAGGAACTATGGAACTAATGAAATAATGTAATTATTAAAATATGCAAGTACTATTAATAAATGTGATTAGAAATGTAAATATAATTAATCACTTGTAAAACTGACATATTTATCCAATAAAGATGCATACTTGAAGTACAGCAATTACTTGAGAGACTGATTATTATATCAACATGAAAGAAAATTCATAAACAGCAAATCTGTAAAGAAATATACAAAAAGTATATGAAACATCTATACAAAATAACAAAAGCCCTCGACTTAAGACAGCCCAACTAAGACAACTCACTACTACTAGTCAAATATGAAAATTAAAAATTTTTTAATTTATGCTTACCACCACCATGTACTACTATTTTTATACTTACAGCACAGTATGACCATTAAAACAACACTGCACTGATCTTTGCTGATGATTATTTGCTTGTTATAGAACTACATATTTTAAATATGTATTTAATACAAAATGACATGAAGCAGTTACTTTATAATTCAACAGCCTCTTGTTCTTTTCAAAATTTTAACAAAAATACAGATGTGACTACCATCTTATGCAACAGACTGAACCCACGGCCATATAGGGTAGCTGAAGGGGCTACAACCCCCCTCCGGAACTGAAGTTTCAGTTTATAAAATAGGATCAGTTATAGAAACACTGGTTTAAGATAAATGATTTAATAAGTAACAATTACTCATTTGTCATTATTAGTTAAAGATACTATTAGTTATTTTATAAAATATGTATGTACAAAGTTTATATATATGCATATTACTAAAAACATCACCGTATATTAGTTCAGAAATGTTATGTAATGCTATACATGTATATGCATTTGTAAACAATTTTATGATAAATAAAAGCCTCATCTATAAAAATATTATCAAAGATATCACAAACAAAATTTCTTCAAATAACTTTACAAAGAGGTGAGTTTGTCATATTAAAAATGATAAGTGCCAGTTCCAAATTGTTGCCATAGAGTGCATAAAAATAGAACAGATACTGATGAATGCCCCAGAACTGAATACAGTACAAAGTCCGAGATCCGGACTCTTCGGGATTTGGGAATTCCGGATTTGGGATTTTTCCGGATATTAGATCATTAGTTTAAATCTAGTAAGATGACATGTTGAAATTATAAAATTTAAAATATTAAATCATGATTTATGAAATAATGAAGCATTTATGATCTAAAGGATATCAAAAATTACAAAAAAGCTTAATATTTATTTGTTTACTTTATTAAACATTTCTTTCCATTTAAGTTGTTTAAGTTGCTTCATTTTTTTGTACTAATATTTTCACTTTAATTCTACAGACAGACATAATTTCTTGTTCAGTTACAAAGTTCCATAGTTCAAGTCCTGTAGTTGCTGTGTCAAGCATTCTAAGTTGTCAATCGAAATTTGTTTGTATTCAATAACTTCTCTGACACTTTCTTCACTATCAGTAGCCGTATTTTCTGGACCTAGAACCATATTACAGATTTTTCGTCCATTACTTGATTGATGCTTGGGGTTTCATTGCAATAAAAAATTTCTGTTATATCATCTTCATTGATTATCGCTTCACTACATTTCTTTGCTACATTTACTTGGAAAATTTCACTTCTGGTTTGCGATATCTGAAAACCTTAAAATCCGTGGTTATTATCTTCATCATCCTACCATGAAATTTGGTAGCTGGCCATAAATTATGCCAAGAACTTTTGAAAGTATTTGGAGATACATCCTCAGGTGGTCTTGCGATGCTCCATACAACAGATTTTATGGTAAAATATTTTTTTAATTCTTGCATAGTCTTGCCATTATTCAAGAAATTTAGCATGGATTTGAAAAATGCTACTTTATATTTGCCTTTCAGCATGTGCACTATTCTGATATCCATAGGCTCGATGATGGACAAACAGTTTGAAGAAAAGAATAATATGGATACATTATCTTTCATTAAAACTTATTAGAAGTGTGAGCTGAACAGTCATCTATACATTCAGGGCAATTTTTGCGTCATTAGGTAAACTAACCGAATTCAAATATTGCTGAGCCTTGGGTATGAGATGATTTTCAAACCAATCATTCATTAACACTTGTGTTAACCATGCTGTATTATTTGCACGTTATATAAAAAGTAAAATCTTAACTCCTTTCAATGGTTGAGGTCATGTATTTTTCCAATTATGAAAAGTTCCCGCTTGCGTGTTCCTGCAGCATTTGTGAATGCTAAAATTATTAGTCTTGCTTTCGAATCTTTGACACCAGGTCGAGCCTTTTCTGTAGAGGTTGCCAAGGTGTTTTATGGCCACAAAAGACTAGTTTTATCAGTTTTCCTACTGAGTTAAATGAATTCATCTGCAAATACAGTCAAAAGTCGTTAATCCGGACTCGTCGAGTCTTCGGCGATTCCGGATTATCGATTTTTCCGGATTACAGATGATCAGTTTAAATCTGGCAAGATGGCATGCAGAAATTATAAAATTTAAAATATGAAACCGTAATTTATGAAATAAAGAACAATTATGATCTAAAGGGTACCAAAATTTACAAAAAAAAAAAGCTTAATATTTATTTGTTTACTTTATTAAACATTTCTTTCAATGTAAGTTAAGTTGCTTTGTTTTATGCAATAATACTTTCTCTTTAATTCTATAAACAGACATAATTTCTTGTTCAGTTACAAAGTTCCGCTGTTCAAGTCCTATAATTGCTGTGCCGAGAATACCGACTAACTTGTCAATCGAAATTTTTTCGTTTTCAATAACCTCTGTGTCACTTTCTTCACTATCGGAAGTGAATTATAATGACGAGGAATTTGATTTAAATCATATCAAAAGACGGAGTACATCGAAGATGAAAATACTACATTTAGTAAGGAAATTATAAGCCAAATAAAATAAAAACATCTTCCCTGAAGATAAGGATAGTGCTGACAGATCAACTTCCAATTCTTTGCGCGCCGTGGGGTCACCCCCCTTCCCCTGACGCAGAGCAGCATGAAATTGATAAACAGATTTCAGAATGGTTAGAGAAACAAAGGATATGCCTTTATCCATTTTTTGGAGCAATTCCACTTTTTATTGGATGGACATCGAAAACTATATTTTCGCTTTGTAGATAGATCCTTTGGGAGCTCCAGCATCGGAAATTCTATTTGGCATAATTGAAAGTTCAAGCTTACTTTTATAAAATTGCTCTAACAGTCTGCAAAAAATAATAAGCCGGATCCAATTCGAAGATTAAGGAACAACGCAGTCTGCAAAATTAACTGAAATAGATAATTAGATAATTTTAGCTTATACCGTCCGTCATACATTAAACACGCTTGCGTAAACGTATTATGCTCATGTGCACACGTATATGCGCAGCCGTAAAGGTCTTACGTGCATGCCTAAATGCCTATGCGTCAACGTGACGCATGCGCAGAAAGTTTGTAGCTTTGAGGTCCGGATTAACAACTTTTGACTGTATATAATACTGGAATATAAATTATAACAATGAAAACTTAAAGATGAAATAAAAAATACAGGGTAAGTGAATGCCCCAATTTCACAGGTGTACTACACAAAATGTAATAAGCATATTCATTAAAAATGTACGTATAATGCAGACATAATAAAGTTTTGGAACAAATGCCAATATATGGCGCTGGAAGTCCGATCATCATCAGCTTTTCTGCAAAAACAAAATGAGGGAGAAAAACAATGCCTTCATAAAATGGTGACACAAGTGAAAAAATGATTTGTATGCTTGAGTCTCATGTTAGCAAGTCTACTGTCATTCTTCAGTGACAGTTCTGAACAAAATACAGACAGAAAGTGCCATATCATAAGATCAATTCATCACTGGCATGCAAAATTGGTGACAAGAGACAGGCTGCATTTGTGAAGGAAAATCAAGTAGTGATAAGCCCTCAAAAACCGACATATTAAGCTGGATGAGAACCAGGAGTAGCCGAGAAAACTGTGTGGAGAGTTCTTAGCAGGCATTTGCAAATGAAACTGTATCATTTGCAGTTGGTGCAACATATGAAATCCGAAGATCTGCCATATTCATTCTCTCTCTTTGAGACACTTTTGACGCGCATGGAGTATGACGAATTTTTGAAGAGGTTTAGTGATGAATCAACTTTTCTCATTTTTGGATTAGTAAATAAGGATAACATGAGAATCTGGGGTACTGAACATCCACATGTGCCAGTGCAATACCAACATGATTTTCCCTATGG